TAGTGTTGCCTGACTTTATAAAGTGTTTTTTTTTTTACAAGTGTGTGGTCACGTTCTAGTCACTTTTCGCTACTGCTTGATACAACTTGTATTTGCCGTACTCGCCTTTAACTGTTAGCTCCGGTTAATCTCGCCCCCGTCCGACGTAAGTGTGACGTATCAAATAACGTTCTTGCTTCTAGACCGAATATTTTTGGTTCTTGAAACAAACCGGATTCCGGAGCTTAGAGCCGGCTCCGCTGCGGTGTGAACAGGAAAAAACGGTGCTTTTCAGGCTCTAGCTCCGAACCGGCCCTGGAACCGCGTTGGTGTGAAAGCCCCATAATTGATAGACAGCTATTTTCTTCCAGGACTACATACAATAAATGGCCCTGTCCAATCTGTCACCAGTTGATGACTTCATGGTGGATAGGTAGATAAAGGGACGTTTCATTCCAACTGCCCAGCCACTTCAAACTGTGGCAGGTGACTCAATAAATAGTCGTGTCTTACCACTCCACTCTGTGGTACAAATTATTTAGACGTTTTTTTTATTGCACCAAGGAGGTGCAATAAGGTTCGGTTCGGTTCCGAAACACACTACAGTGACTTTGTACAGTACGTCACTCTGAATAGTTATAATTCCCAACCCCTCTCCACCCAGTAGTATGTTTTAAATGTACATCCTTTCACAGCTATGAAGTAACAAGCCCGTCTGTGTCTGTCTTAATGCGGAGCTCTGTACTGGAAACAGAAAAGAGACTTGGGCTGGTCAATAACTTGGCTGTTAATGGTCTAGAAATGTATATTAAATAAACGTTTTGTTATTGTTTTTGTTGCATTCAGTGACCCATCAGGCGACTGACTATTGTATTAACTGCTACTTTAGTTCTGATGCACAAGCTCGCAGTGAGCCGATTTGATGATGCAGAGTGAAGTGCATGGTTGAGTGTATGGTTTAAATAAATCCCTGACTGGACCAGAACCTGTGTCGCCTTCTGGCTCAGTAGAGGGGGCATGCTCCTGAGGTTGTAAGGGTATTTCTGCAGGAGAGGGTTTTTGTCGTGATGTTGGCAGTAAAGGACAGTTGGTTGGTGTGGTAGCTGTGGTGAGAGAAGCCATAAGAGCAGATGACAGAGGAAAGTGAACTGGCGTACAGAGAAAAGAAGAGGGGACCCCTGTGATGAGTTGAAAAAGAACTCAGGTATTTTCCAAGTTGTCGTGCAGGTGCAGTCTTTGAGGTGGAAGCCCTGAACCAAATTAAACTTAGAAATAATTGTGTTAAGATTTCTTATAAATATTTTTTTAGAAACTAAACGTCAGGATTTTTGGGCTCTGCTGCTTCAATTTTCACCATTCGATTTGATCCCTTGTACCTCAACTGTCACCTCTCTTAATGGAAGTGCAAAATTACGTAAAAGTCAAAAACAATATAGTCTGCTATTAGGACCAGAACCCATCCATCCATCCATCTTCTCCCGCTTATCCGTGGTCGGGTCGCGGGGGTAGCAGTTCCAGCAGAGAGCCCCAAACTTCCTTTTCCCTGGCGACATCAACCAGCTCTGACTGGGGGATCCCAAGGCGCTCCCAGGCCAGCGAAGAGATATAATCCCTCCACCTGGTCCTAGGTCTACCCCTTGGTCTCTTCCCAGCAGGACGTGCCTGGAACACCTCTCTAGGGAGGCGCCCAGGTGGCATCCTAACTAGGTGCCTGAACCACCTCAACTGGCTCCTTTCTACGCGAAGGAGGAGCGGCTCAACTCCAAGTCCCTCCCGGATGACCGAACTTCTCACCTTATCCCTAAGGGAGACACCAGCCACCCTGCGGAGAAAACCCATCTCGGCCGCTTGTATCCGCGATTCTATGGTCATGAAGGACCAGAACCGTGACCCATAATTAAATCCAAGTTGGTCTGAAGAATTATCACAAAGAGATAGGTCGGTCATACGTGCGACATATAACAACTCCAAATGCACTCTGCTCTTTTTTTCAGGCTACAGGAGTGGATCAGGCAGTTGGCATGAGTCTTGTTGTCTTCAGCCTCCTGCTGTTTACATACTACTCTGTCTGGGTCATCATCCTGGTAGGTTCTGTTAACGTCCTTAAAATCCCAATAAAACAGCCGCATTACAACACAAGATTGAAGTTAATTTCATACATGTCAGAACCTGTCTGCTGTGTCCACACAACAAAGACCTGTAGGCCTATCCTTTCTCCCTAAATATATTCATTTCATGTTTTTACACTTTTTAATAACAATTTAAGTCTCTTTAGACCATATTTTAAAAACAATGTAATATTACATGTATGATGTTGTATGTCGTTCTTTTCCAGCCTTTCATGGACAGTGATCACATTCTGCATACGTATTTTCTTCCTCGGGAGTACTCTGTAATTCTGCCCGGCATTGCAGCAGTAATACTTCTTCTCTGTATAGGTGAGTACACACTCAAGTATTCTCATTAAAATATGCACTCCAACCCATCTAAATACAAACTTGATAGCACTCTTATGTCCTCACAGGGGCCTTCACTGCAGTTATCATGTGGAAGAACCGCAAGCCAAAGAAAGTGGACTGATCTCCGGATGTCAGAGTGACTGCTGTGGATTTAACAATGTGAAAATAGCATTGAAAACTCTGTGGTGTCCCTACAAGAGAAATCATACCTCCAACATATCATTTCTAATGAACAACTGCAAAATGATATTAAGTTAAAGAAAAAACAACAATGTTTCCTTATATTTTAGTACAATAAAAGTCAGTGTCTATGTTTTAAAACTAAGTGTTGAATTTAAAAACCTTCAACTTGGTGCCCGAGTGGCAGTAAACTACACTGAGAACGGCTTAAAGCTAAAGATGGACGGCACCAATGAGAATAACTTGAAACAACACATTAAAACAGGCCATGATGTCGTCACTTGACTTTTTTTATTGTCACTCGCTGTGTTTTTTCTATCGGGCAGTAGGCAGTAGACTGTTAACAGGAATTCATTTAGCTCAAGGCTCTGAGGTGTTTTATCAAAGTTATATTTAATAGACCAAGATGAAATTAGCATCCAGCTGATAACCCTTCAGACCAACCACTGCAAAGCGAGAACTTGTCAGTATTTTGGACTTCACAGCCGTCTCAAAAGATTTATGTCACTTCCACCTGTTCACATACCATTCAGAAACAAATGAAGACAACCCTGATTATAAGACCACACCCCCCTGTGGCAGATAAGCAGGTTATAGAGCAGTCAGAAACATATCTTAATTGATTAAGATCTCAATCAATACAGCCTTGAAATTGATTAAATGGTTTGAATTTTTCCCGACCAAGGAAATATACATATGGGAATTCTTAATTTAGGTGGTGCCTCACTTTCAGGCCTCCCATAATGCATTACTCTCTGCAGGATCTAATGTTACACCGTTACTCTCCATAACAAAAGAAAATCTAATGTTGTGAATATGTAATTGTCTTGTTCTCAATATGGCTCTCAGATAGAAGGAGGTGAAATATACCTTCCTGTGGTAACAATGACAACATGTTTGACTTGATTAGAAGCAGCACAGGTCTTCAAATATGTAAATAGTGACAATGTTTCAATTGTATATGGTGTGAAAGTTTGAATTATGTTAATTATTTTGAAAATAAGCAAACATTTTGTCTGGCTTAAATAAATTGAGGCTGGTGACGGGGCCAGTTGTCCTTTTTATATGTTCAATAAAATGTTGATGCTGGGAATCGTCTCCATATTGCATATGCAGTAGCTCTAATAGCCACACTTGATACATATGCTATTGGTCGTAGCTTCAGCAAAGTCATGTTTTCCAGTGCTGCATATCACTCTTCACTGTGTTTAAAACGGGGGAAATGACTGCTGAAACAGTGCACTGAGTTAAAGAAATGTATTTAGGCCTTTTAAGTCAGTATTTGTATTTAGTCGTTTAAAAACATAAATGTAATATGCTTTATTACTGTAAAGGTAGATATTGACATTTGGACGCCGACTTCGAAGGCGAAGAAGAAGTGTGCCACATTTTATTTACAGCGAGGAGAGGAGACATCAAATATAAATTTTTTGCCCCAGTGATTTGCTGGAGAAGGATAGCTGGACCACAGCCAGGATCCCATGAGTCAGCATTGCAACAAACATATATTACCCACACATGTTTTAGATTTATTCCAACATTGTCTGAGGTATTTTGTAATGCAGTGATAGTTTTGTGGCAAATATTGTGTTGTAACCGGGCCCTATGATAACAGGAAGGTTTTCTTTCCAATAATGTTATTTAGGAAAAGTGTGAGTTACTGAGACAAATTATGTTACTAAAGCAAATACCAACACATTTAAAGAAATACACATTTATTTATTACCTCAACCTGCGGTTTTTTTTTTGGGGGGGGGGGGCTAATAGTGCTACAGCAAAGGCTGTAACTTGAGCCAAAGTAATTGAAAATAAGAAACTAAACTAAAATGTAAGTAAGTAATTGACGCACATTATTTGACGTAAACACCAGTAATGGTATCTTATGGGGTTCTTAGCGTGTTATGACTTTATACTGAACTAAAAGTGCTGTACTCGTGAACACTGTTGCGTCTCCTTTGTCCTCAATTAAATGTGGCCTTATCATTAAGTAGGCTAATTGCCCTCCCCCGCAAGTAAAATTGATCTAGGACCGCCGCTGTGTGTGTGTGTGTGTGAGAGAGAGAGTTCTGTTGCAGTGGATGGTGCAGGGTGCTGCTGTGTGTGGGTGTGACCGCTGCGCGAGACCAAGAAGGCTTCTCAATTCTCTAATTTCCCCTCATATCCTCGTGTCTTAGTCCAGCCCACAGGAGATGCGAGCGGAGGAGTCGAGGAGGGGAAATTAGAGAATTGAGGAGCCTTCCAAATGTCCGCCAACCGTCAGTCTGTCGACAAGCTGACAAGTGACACGTGACACACACACACACACACACACACACACACACACACACACACACACACACACACACACACACACACACACACACACACACACACACACACACACACACACACACACACACACACACACACACACACACACACACACACACACACGGAGACAGGACAGACGGAGCTCAGCGGCCACGCGACCCTCTCATCTAAAGTCCGTGAGCGCACTGAGGCAAGTAACGCTTTCTTTTCATGTTGGCTTTAAACTGCAGAGTAATGCATCCTTTGATAAATACTGCTTTTAGTTTTTTTTTTACTGGGATGAACTTACTCATTATCACCAGTTGTGTCCACATGTAGGCTACTGAGTCACAGTGTGTTTCCATTAAACACTGAGGCACATGCAAAATGCTCCGAACTGATATATTTTCTTGTGACTAATGCATCTATCACTGAATCGCGCCTCATTGCACAGAACGGCTTCATTAGTATAAAGTATAATGATAAGTAAGAAGAAGAAGAACAATGACTCACCATCAGCCATGACTCTCTAAAGTGATAGTCAGTGTGTTATGTGAAATATTATATAAGTACAGATTGATAAACTCCTTCACCCCTGTACAGAGGTGGGACTGAGGTACTTGTACTTTACTCAAGTATGTCCATTTAATGCTTATTTATACTTTTACTTTACTCATTTTGGAGGCATTTTTACTCCACTACATAACATATGAGTTCTTCCTCCACATCTGCTCCAGTATAGTGCTGTACAAGGTGTTGGGGGCTTGACCCACATTAAAGTTCCACATGTGATCCATGATTGAACAGGCTTTGTGTGGTCAGCAGCTGCACACTCAGCATCCCTGCTTTATGTGTTGATGGCAGGACAACGAGATGTTGTTGGACCTCATGTCAAACGCTCGGGGGAACGCAATGGTCCCATTTTACCACACATTTCCAGTGGTGTGGTTTGTTGCTACTTTGTACTTCTACTCCACTTCAGTTCAGAGGTAAATGGTGTACTTCTACTCCTCTACATGTATTTAATCCCTTTAGTTACTTTACAGATGTGGTCATGTGGATGACTGATGTGAAATGTAATCAAGTGTTAAATCAGACTTTAGTTCCACCTGGAGTAAATCCACCAGCTACCCTGCAGTATACAAAGTCATTCAAACTAGCTGCACCTTTACCAGCTTTGAGAACACTTTCATGATCAATCATTATAAAACATATCATATATATTATTCTGAAATGGACCAATCTGCACAATGACTACTATTACTGTCGCTACTTTAACTATATTTGATGCTGATACTTTTCTACTTTCACTTGAGGAACATTTTGAATGCAGGACTTTTACTGTAACAGAGTATTCCTACACTCTGGTACTTCTACTTTTACTCAAACAAGACCTGAGTACTTCTACTTTTACTCAAGTACAAGATCTGAGTACTTCTACTTTTACTCCAACAAGACCTGAGTACTTCTACTTTTACTCAAGTACAAGACCTGAGTACTTCTACTTTTACTCAAGTACAAGATCTGAGTACTTCTTCCACCGCTGCAAATTGCTGTATTTGCACATGTTTTACATCATGTTCAAGCCACAAATTCAATAAGTAGCCGGTTTGAATATTTGGTCACTTATGAAACTCACTGGAACAAGAATATATGATTGGAACTCTGAATCATATCAGCCATATCAGCTAAGGTGTAAAGTGAGCCATCAAATGTTACACTGTGCAAACACATCCTACAGTCTATCTCAATAACTGGCTCTGGCCTGAGGCATGCAGCATTTCTTCAGAAGCAGCATGCACTGACAGTTTGCAGTCTGTCAGACAAGTTCTGGTTTCTGACCCAGCTGTATGTCAGCTGTTAATGTCAGCTGTTTCTATGAGCATCCCTCTGCTCATTCTGACAGAATTTAAAACATGGTGAGCGCTTCTTATGAGTTTTCTGATGAGATGTATCGTTGACTATTAAACCAAAGTCTAATATCACAGGCGTATATTTTAGAATTCCTGGAAACAACACTATTCTAGCAGTAGCCTACAAATGAGACATTTAGTTTAGTTTATTAACGAGAAGCCAATCGTTTTTATAAAGTAACGTGTTTTTTTAATTGAGATGTGCAGTATTGTGTTTGGAACACACGATTTAGCTTAAAGAACCGATTAAAAATGGTATTACTAACTTATAAAGCACTAAATGGTTTGGGAGCCCAATATATATCCGACATGCTGCTCTGTTACGAGCCCCCCAGAGATCTGAGATCTTCGGGGGGGGGGGGGGGCTAGCTCATTATTCCCGGGTCAGAACCAAACACACAGAAGCTGCTTTTAGTTTTTACGCGCTGCACATCTGGAAAAAACTCCCAGAAAACCTGAGGTCCTCACCAACCCTGAGTTCTTTTAAGTCGTGGTTAATAACATTTATTTGTACTGCTGATTACCCAGAAGTCATTTAACTTAGTTTTATTATTACACCTCTTGCAGCATCATCTGTGTTTACAATGTTGATTCAAACTGCTTATTATCTCTTTTAGGAATGGTCTTTATGAATCTGTTATTCCATTGTGTTTATTTATTGTGGTTCTTTCTTTTGTCTTCTTTCTTAACTTTAGTCTGTTTATGTTGATGTCACTTTGAATTGCCTCTGTGTCGGAAAATGTGCTGTAGAAATAAAGTACCTTACCTTACCTTGTGATTTTTGGGGGATGGAAGGTAATGGGACCGCAGAGACAGGCAGGCTAGACTGTAACTCCATCGTTGACCTGAAAGGTCTGAAAAATCTGTTCAATTAGAAACAAAGCTCCGTCCGTTAGGTAAGACCATTGTTTGAATCTGAAATGTAAAGAAGCCGCACTGGCTGATATATAGCTTGTGATTGGTCAGAATCATATAGCTAAGGTTCCAATTCCTCGCTAGCTGCATCTATATCAGGTGATATTAGTTAAATAACCACAGAACCTTTATGCACATACTTTGTGTTGGAGTATTCTATAGTCTCTTTTCTAATTCAACATGGAGACGGACACATTAAAACAGTTCTCACAGTTCCTTTGTGAACACATTCTGCATGTTAAACAGTCGTACTGACATGTCATAATTCACAATAAGCATAATTCAACATAATGAATTGTACTTTGATTTAGTTTGAAGGTTGCTCAAATAAACAGCACATGGTTATTTGATCAATTATTTGAATAACACACCAACATACCTCACAGTATACAAACTCTGCATGTCCCGACAGCGATCTTTCCTCTTTGAGGAAAACTAACCGAACTGTGGCTGTGTGATGATGGGGAGCTCTGTGTGTCTGTCCCAGACTCCTGACCACTACAATTCCAATATATATTATATATTCTTACAGCTCTGTTTTGGGTTTTCACCCACCACTGAGGGACTCCTAAATCAAATATCTGGCTGTTTAGTTGGTAAATTCTTCAATACAGTTTAACAAGTTGCAGGCCGTAAAACTTTAACAATGAAAGTGAAAGAAACAGTGAAAGACACTTTAGTACGGGGTCAGGTCAGTCTCAAAATAAATAAATGCAGACAGAAGTATTCACAAATGTAATTCGTGATTAATATATAAATGTCTGCATCCACACAAATATTTTTCAATGCACACAGAAATACTTATAGTTGTATACAAATGTTATTTGACTGCATAATGATCTGACCCAGTGGCGTAGCTGTGGGTGGGTCCGGGTGGGCCTGGGCCCACCCACATGCACGTCTGGCCCACCCACAGCCAATCAGCGCTTCATAGCGCAGAGCCAGGAAGCCCAGAAGGAAGTGCCACAAACTGCAGTTCATCTAGTGGCCGACAGGGGATGGATGCAGAAAGGAGCCGTTTCCATAGACCCCCATGCCCAACTTTACAGCAGAAATAAACATGTTTCTAGCCTGGATCCAATCAAACTTATTCTGGATATAGTTAAATTCCACCTTCATGACAATGGAATAGGGAGTGTATTTTTTTACCGTGAGTAAATTAGTAAGTAAAGTAAGTTTTGCCGTGAGTGAATTAAAGTATTATTTCTTCTTGAGGTCTGCAGTTTAGCGTGTACACATTTGCTGAATATGAAAACACTCAGTGTGTGCCCACTGTGCGACTGTCAAGGATAAACAACCTGTGGCCGCCGAGCCAGTCATGTGTAGGGATGGGTACCGGGCCCCAGGGCTGAATTATTAAAGACCGTGGTACCATTAAGCTCCGACGTTATCGGTCTTTTTATCGCTACTGGAGACATGTAAAAAATATGTCATATATATTATTGCTACACAAACATTACATTGCAGTTTTAGTGTCGCCAACTCCGTTTCTAATATGCAAAAAGACTGCAAAATGCGTCCATTTTTAATATTTTCGATCTTTCCAATCCAGTCGAGAGATCTCTCTCTCTCTGTGTGCGAGGGGGCGGGGCAGTTTACACACACGCAGCTGCTACATGCAGCAACACACACACACACACGGCGGAGATGGCGGAGATAACTCGCTCCCAGGTGTGGTTAAACTTTACCCGTCTCGATGTGGACAATGCTCGTTACCAAAAGAGTTAACTCAATGATACAAACATGGGTTAATGATTAGAGGTAACGGAGTTATTTATTTTGTTAAAGTTTCAGCTATTCTGTTTACAGTTCTGTCATCAGATTATTTAATACGACTTGTTAAAACATTGTTGTTTCTTTTGATGTGAAATATTATTTAATTTAAATAAAAAGCAATGTTAGTTTTGTTCACTATTTGGTAAGTTAGTTTACCTTATTTTTTTCTCCAAAAGAACCGATAAGAGTACCGTTAAAAGACCGGACAGATAAGCGGTATCGATAAAAGTAGTAGTAGGCCTACCGTTAAAACCTTAACGATACCCATCCCTAGTCATGTGGATGTCAGTTTTACACACATTCTGAGGCCGCCGTGCCTATACTTTTGTTTTCACTGCTAATTTATGCTTATGTTCAATTAGTGCATTAAAAAATCATTAAAATCATTAAATACGTTTCAGCTCAGACCCCACGCTTAATATGTCTCCCCCTGGCCCACCTACATTTCTCCAGGCCCACCCACACAATAATTCCTGGCTACGCCACTGATCTGACCCCATATGCACACGGTGAAACCACCCTATAGAATCCAGGCAAGGCGTTAACATAAAGTCAACGTATCTAAATAAAACTCAAGGCGGCATCCACAACAACATCAGCTCTTTTTCTCTTGAAATCAGCAGTCTTTGTTCCAGAACATCGATGTTCTGACTGTCTGAACGGCTCTCTTAAAGATGTGTTCAAATGTTCAAATCCATCAGGCTAGACCCTTGAGCGGCCCATCAAACAGGGACTGCTTTTGTTTCACCGCCAAATGCAAAGTGAAGCTGTGAGCGTCGCTGGAAACATGGGGAAGGGCTTTAAAGGCTTGTTGCTATGGAACTAACCAATGACAGACCAGACTGACTTACAAAAGGTGTTATGCTTTTCTGGTTCTTACCCGTCCCCTTGTGTGTTATGAAGCTTTTTCTTCATGTAAACGGTCTGCAGAGGCACAAACCCTCAAAGTACACCCTGTCGCGAGTAAAACTCTAACACAGAAAAGACCTGTCTGTGCTGCCCCTGAACGCCTCGTTGGAGATTATTCTTTTTCCATTTTTTTCTTCCGGAGGCCTATTGACGTCACTAAATCTGGAGACCAATTGGAATGTGGCACGCCCATAGCTATACAACAATAGGCACCCTCTGCCAGCCGACCATTTACTGTTGGAAGGCTGAAAGGTTCAGTTCCAAATTGTATCCAGTCATGTCAAGAAAGTACTGTGCCCTGAAATGTGAGGGGAAATGACACCAGTAAATCCACCTCACACTGTCCGCTCTTCACGCCTCACAGGGCGGACTCGTGAGCTCCGTAATGTCCTGCTAACATGGCACTTCCTGGTTGCTAACCGACATTTACACAAATAATTTCCCCTCATTTATTGTAACAAATGTAGATATAGTTTAAAAATAGATTTTAATCAAAACATGTGGTGGTTTGTAGACCATCTGATGCCATTAGTAACAGCACAGGCCCTAAAGCTATTTTCCCTTTTTGTTGGTTTCCATAGTATTTCTGTTAAAGACTCAACCGTCTGTCAGCTTTCTTTTGTGTCTGTCACTGGCCTGCTTGTCCTTAACTTACTCTTTAATTGTGTCTGCTGTAGCTCTGAACACCTCTCCTGTATTCACAGGTCAGTGTCAGCAGTCATATGTTCTGTGTTGCTGTCTCTGTATCTAGGATGGAGATGTCAGCGGCTGACGGTGGCCTGGGGAGGTCTGCCCACCGCCAGCGCTCTGGCACGGTGAAGAGGAAGAGGTGGGGGGGTTTGAGGCAGCAGTGGAAGCTTCTGGGCCTGTTTGAGATCGATGAGCAGCACGAGTTCTACAGCCTGACCTGCATGATGAAGGAGGGTCTGGCAGCAGCCTCCCAAAGAACCATTGATAATGCACCAAGAGTGAGTAGAAAGTGGTCCTGTGAATATAACCAGTTCGATGAAAACAGATATATTTTTAATTGCTTGTAACCCACTCCAATGAAAAAAAACAGTAAGTTACTGCACAGTACTGTATTTGCCACAACTGCTGACAGCCTTCTCTTCACAGAGATCGCTGCTTGCATGCAGACGCTCTAAAGGGGCGTGGCCAGAAGCAGCTCCAAGGGGGCGTGGCCAGCAGCAGCTCGGTTACATTTAAATCAGCACTTTTTTAAAATTTGTAATGCTGCGTTCACACCGGACACAATACGATGTTTGGGGGTGGCGAGATTACATGTAAAGTCAATGCAGAGACGCGGACAGACGCAAATTCGCTCCGACGGCAAGCATGAAGCGGTGGATGCGAATTCCGCGGCGCGATTGAGGCGATTGAAGGCAAGACAAACGCTCGAGTTCAATTTTTTCAACTCGAGCGTCATATTCACGTGACGCGATCTCGCGGTAGCCAATCAGCGGTGAGGATCTCAGCCTGCCGTCACTGGCGTTCAACCAGAAAACATCAGCCGTTAGCTGTTAGCTCTTAGCACTCAGAGCTCACAGCTCCTCATATCTGTTCAGAAACTAGACTAAAGTTAAACAAGTACAAACCACAGACTGTCTGTGTCATGGCAAATACGCTGGTTTATTTATGTCTGTAGGCCGTTGTTGTGAGTGTGGACGGAGTATATACAACGTTAGCTTAGCCTGGTCGACCCGATCTTCATTCAGAAAACACGCATTTTAAAAGGTTTTTCCCCTGCCGTCTGTCTGCAGACTTGTCAAGCATTAATTCATGGTTTTTACTAACCGGTATCAGTATGTTGTTACTTCGGCATCATTTAGAAACGTGTATTACAATTAAATCACGGTAAAATATGTTCATTTTGTCGTAGTTGTAGCTCCCGAGCCAGTGCATCTTGTTTGAATGACGTGAGTAAACATAGCTGGCAGCCGCAGTGAAACTCGAGCGTTTAGAGCGATGCGATAGGAGCGCAGCGAATATTCGCATCGCGTCCGGTGTGAACGCAGCATAACAGGGCTGAAATAGAGGGATATGAGGCATGGCTACAATGGGTGATCTGTTTAGTATTTTGAGCATTACACTTTTGCTCAAGGGCACCACGGCAGGGCCCAGGAGGTGAATTGGGACCTCTCCAAGCACCAGTCCATACTCCATATTTAGGTCTGGTCGGGGGACTTTAACTGGCGACCATGCGGCTCACATTCCAAGCCCCTACTGACTGAGCCACTGCCTCTTTCCATTATTAGTTGATATTGTATTGTACTTTATTATTATGGCGGCTTTTCTTATGACATTATTGTTTCTAACGTAAAACATTTTTAGCCAGTATTTGCAGTCAGCTTTATAAAACGTAATTTGTAGATTTGGACGTAACATATTTGTGCTACATTATGTTTGAATGAAGGAACAACACCAAGGTTTATTTTCCTACAGAATTGAATGATGGGGCAATTATCTTCTCTCTGAGCCTTAACACCTAGAAATCTTTTGTAACCTACATCTGTATAAGATGTTGTGACGTTCAGACATTGATATGAAACATTGTGAAAGAGCTTCCTCTAACAAGTTATTTTCCTCCTTTATGGGAAAATGAACAAATAGCATGGCTGAAAAGAATCCCCTCATAAACAAGGCTTGGAGAGCGGTATGCAGCCCACCCTGCTGCTGAATGAACGGTCACATGACCTTAATCCCAACCAACACATTGCTGAGTCAGCTGGCTGTTGCATGACAACAACTGTTGTGTTGTATCTGCAGAGTCCCTAAAACACAACAGAACACAACACCCCCCCCCCCACACAAACACGCCGGAATATTACTTTTGACATACAGTTGCTAAAGATTCTTTACCCCTTCCCTTTTTTTAATACATTACTTCGTTCAAATATAACAGATAAAGTTTAATTTTGACATCAATTTTCACACAATTCCTGGTTATGTGGTTTTTGTCCACAGTATTCACTGTTACATGTCTGATATGTGTAATATGTAATATAAAGCGCTTTGAGCATTTGGAAAAGCGCACTAATAAATGTAATGAATTTTTATTATTATTATGTGACTAAAAATGTTGGTACCTGGCTGCAGGGATTAGACACAGGAACACTATGTTTTAAGGTCCAACACAGATGATGTGTGATAAGATGGGCTCACAGGGAGGATGTCCAGTGGTGTTAAGTAACTCAATCAATCAATCAAAGTTTATTTATATAGCCCAATATCGCAAATCTTACATTTGTCTTAGTGGACTTTACAGTTTGTACAGAATATTAATACGAATAACTAGGTTAGTAGGTACATTTACTCTACTGTTCCAATACTCTACTAAATTACAATGTTGAAGTACTTTACTTGAATATCACATTATGTTACTTTGTAATTGTACCCCACTACAAAGGCAAATGGTATACTATTACTCCACTACATTTATTGAATACCTTGAGTTACTTTACAGATTTGGATTGATGATCAGAAATATAATCAACTCTTAAATCAGACTTAAGTTCCACCTGGAGTAAATTCACAAGCTACCCTGCAGTATACAAAGTCATTCAAACTAGCTGCACCTTTACCAGCTTTGAGAACACTTTAATAATCAATCATTAGAAAACATATCATATATATTATTCTGAAATGGACCAATCTGCACAATGACTACTTTTACTTTTGCTACTTCAAGTGTATTTTGATGCCAATACTTTTACTTTTACTTACATAAGTACTACTATTACTACTACTACTACATTTTAAATGCAGGACTTTTACTCGTAACAGAGTATTCCTACACTCTGGTACTTCTACTTTTATTTACAGGTCCCATGTCATGGCCATTTCTACTGATCATAATTCCATTGTTGAGGTCTACTAGAATAGATTTACATTGTTCAATGTTCCAAACTCACATTGGTTTCTCATACAGCATCTCTGAATAGTATGTGTATTCACTCTCTGTCCTAAACGGCTTGTTGGAGCTCCTGCCCCCCCCCCCCCCCTCCCTATGAGCCCACTGTGCTCTGATTGGTCAGCTCGCCCACTCTGCTCTGATGAGTCCACCACCGTTACAGCGGAACATCAGTGATCATGTGTTACAATGGCGTTTGTTAGTAACCAGAAAATGACACCAGTAATGACAAACAGATGAGAATGCTGCGTGGGGTCTGGGTGCCGTGTTGGCGGGACGTTGCGCGGCTCGCTGCTGTGAGGAGCGGACAGTGTGAGCTGGGTTACTGGTGTCATTTCCTGGTTGCTGCGTGGGGTGAGGGGGCTGCAGCACCCCCAACTGCGAGGCTCCACTAGCACCCGCACCCCCAAACGCGGCGCACCTACAGTGTAAGCGCGCCACAGTTTCGCCGCTGCGAGGCTCCACTAGCACCCCCCCCCAGCACGTCACAGTTTCGCCGCTGAGAGAGTGTGCGTGTGTGAGGAGCTCCACGGATTGGTCCATTTGGACCAATGGCTCCATTTAGGTATGGGCACGTCACTGTACCCAGCAAGAAAAAGAAAAATCTCCAACGAGGCGTTCTGGGGCAGCACCGACAGGTATTTTCTGTGTTAGAGTTTTACTCGCTACAGGGTGTACTTTGAGGGTTTGTGACTTTGCAGACCGTTTACATGCAGAAAAACTTTCATAACACACAAGGGGACGGGTAGTACCCGGAAAAGTATGACATGGGACCTTTAAGTACAAGATCTGAATACTTCTCCCACTTCTGGTCGGGACTCAGTAAAGTTCCTCTCACGGATGTGTCTTCGTGAACGTGGGCCATGTGATGTTGGGAAAAGGTCTCAAGAACGTAGAGTTTTGTCCATCAGACTGCCAGACAGTGAGGCATGTTTTATCATAATCTACTGTTATACATATTACTAGACCAACTACAAAACTGGGTGGGACTAGTTCTAAATTGGTTTGAATCCTACTTAAAGGACAGAAAAAACTAATTGAGTTGACAAATATGACATGTGGGGTACCTCAAGGCTCCATCTTGGGGCCTCTTCTCTTTAACATCTACATGCTACCACTGGCTCAGATAATGAAAAACAACAAAATAAGTTACCATAGCTATGCAGATGACACACGCATTTACATAACCAGTTCACCAGGAGACTATGCTCCAGTTAAAACACTGAGTAAGTGCATTGAACAAATCAATGACTGGATGTGTCAGAACTTTCTCCAATTAAACAAAAATAAAATTGAGGTAATGATTTTTGGAGCCAAGGCAGAACGTATAAAAGTTAGCGCTGAGCTTCAGTCTGCAATGTTCAAAACAACAGATAAAGCCAGAAATCTAGGTGTAGTCATGGACTCTGACCTGAGTTTCAACAGTCACATTAAAACAATGACTAAATCAGCCTACTATCACCTAAAGAACATATCTAGGATTAAAAGACTAATGTCACAGCAGGATTTGGAAAAACTTGTCCATGCTTTTATCTTCAGTAGACTGGACTACTGCAATGGTGTCTTTACAGGTCTCACTAAAAAATCTATTAGAAAGCTGCAGCTAATTTCAGCCCTGTTTATTTGTAACAGGGCTGAAATAGAGGGATATGAGGCTCTGCTACAATGGGTGATCTGTTTGGTATTTTGAGCAAAACACTTTTGCTCAAGGGCACCACGGCAGGGCCCGGGAGGTGAACTGGGACCTCTCCAAGCACCAGTCCACACTCCATATTTAGGTTTGGTCGGGGACTTGAACTGGCGACCATGCGGCTCACATTCCAAGCCCCTACTGACTGAGCCACTGCCTCTTTCCATTATTAGTTTATATTGTATTGTATTTTATTATTATGGTGGCTTTTCTTATGACATTATTGTTTCTAACGTAAAACATTTTTAGCCAGTATTTGCAGTCAGCTTTATAAAACGTAATTTGTAGATTTGGACGTAACATATTTTTGCTACATTATGTTTGAATGAAGGAACAAGCTCTATGTTTAAAGAAAATACTTTAGTGTATTATCAGAGAAATGAATGGTGAATGAAGGAAAGGTAATGTTGCAGCATGGTACATTAGAAGTTCTAATCCATACAATTGAATTCCTAGTTGTTTTGAGGGTAGCCATGGTTACAGTGGTCAAAGCAAGTGTGTCAGCATGTCCCAACATTGTCATACTTATACATCTATTTAAGCAGATACTGGTATCTGTTAAGAGAGGAGACACAATCATGGTGTTTTCATTATTTGATTAGCTGTAAATGAACACAGTTTTGATACCAGAACGGCTTCAGTTTGTATCTGCTCATGTTCAATGAAATCCACACTCAATCATGGAGTGCTGCAAGGTTCTGTCCTTGGACCCATTTGCTTCTCTCTATATATGTTGTCATTAGGAAATATTATAAGGAACTATTTATCATTAAATACTGACCAAAAAAAAGTCATTTTACTTGGCCCCAAACAGGAAAGAGGACCACATCACTCCAATGTTAGCAGCTCTACACTGGCTCCCAGTAAAGTCCATGATCAAATGTAAAGCTTTTCTTCTAACCTACAAAGCACTAAATGGAAAGGCACCATCATACCTAAAATATATTTGAATCCCCTAATGTCCCTCATTATGCTCCAAGAGTGCAGGTCTTCTAATCATTTAATGTATTTTATGAATGAAGCCTTCTGCATTCAGAAAGCACTCATCTCTAGGTGTGAAAAGTGTGAAATAAACACCCTCTGATTTTCAGGTTATAAAAATAAAGGAGATTTGGTGACGTAAAACACATGAGCACTAACGTTTAGTTCAGAGTTAAAGATCACACCAAGGTTTATTTTCCTACAGAATTGAATGTAGGGGCAATTATCTTCTGAGCCTTAACACCTAGAAATCTTTTGTAACCTACATCTGTATAAGATGTTGTGACGTTCAGACATTGATATGAAACATTGTGAAAGAGCTTCCTCTAACAAGTTATTTTCCTCCTTCATGTGAAAATGAACAAATAGCATGGCTGAAAAGAATCCCCTCATAAACAAGGCTTGGAGAGCGGTATGCAGCCCACCCTGCATACCGCAGGGTGGGCTTTATTGTTTTTTTAATTATCTTTGCTTTTTAATGACTGTTTTTAAATGCCATTTTCTTAATGTTTTTCATTGTTGTAAAGCACTTTGAATTGCCTTGGGTTGAGAGGTGCTATATAAATAAACTTGCCTTGCCTTACTGAAAAAACTGGTAATGTTGGGTTTTTATTTTCAGAAAACAGGAACAGGAAACCTTTCAGCTGGCTCTGTTTGAAGTGTTCTACTATGGCGACGTAGTTCACATGCATGCTGTCTCGACTCTGTGTAAAAACACTAACAACTATGAAACAGACTAACTCTGCTAACAGAGACACTCGGCCAACTTTATGACCCTGAACGTCAACAACAATCCGGTCCCAGCTGTGTGCGTCACTTTTTTTGTTCCATTGTGTTTAGTACATTGGTAAATGCTGTCCAAGTTTCCCCACATTGGTGAATGTTTTCTAAATGTATGTGTTGTCACGTTGCTGAAGATGTTTCTTCATTTTTTGTTTTGGCACATTTGTGTTTCTGTATTTGCATCGTTTTATGAAAGTGCACTTGTTTCTCTTGGAAGTGTTTTGTGCCGTTGTAGCCCCGTTGCACCTGTTGGCCACGTACTTGTCCCGTACACATCACTGTGACTTTATGATCTTTTATATTGGCTTTTATAAGACTAAGCAGCATTGGTATATTCACATAGCTATGCTGGGTAAACTCCCTTACTCTTAATAATATGTCATGATTTTCACTTTACTTAGTAGCTGTTAATGGTTGTATCTTCCTCAGAGAGTTTAAAGTTTTTATTGAAAAGAAAATGATTTTTACCAAAAAGTGTAATTGTTATTCCTCAATTGAAATTTGAATAATGTATTTCATGTCATATGTTCATGTTGTTTGTGACATGCTCTTTTTTTATTGGTCCTTTGTCTGATTTTCACATACTTTATTATATATTTTTGTAACTTTTGGAGAATTCATCACATTTTTGATTTATTTTATAGATATTTGGCTTTGCAACTATACTCTCCTATTACATTGTGGTATAAATCCAGCCCACCCCTTCTTTAACAGTGGTTTGCTTTCCCCTTCGCTGGCCAGGTACGAGATGGCCGCTTGATTAAAAATGAAACATCACTCCGGACGTCACGGTCCCCTGGGGGGGGTCTGTGGCAGAGAGCAGGCACGTGTCAGCACTCAGTGGGCCTTTGTGGAGCCTGTGTTGCTGCAGATCACATTGTGGCTTGAACTCACTCTAGCTGGATTTCTAGCTACGCTCGTGTCAGTCCACCACTTTGGATCCATCCTTAGTTTTTGGTCCCTGAGGATGAATCCTAATGACTCAGATGATCCTCTGACGCCACCAGCAGGTCATGGTTTTCACTCTTCCTGTGAATATCATCATGAGACTACAGTTCTGCTGCTACTGCTCTGTGATGCAAGCTCTGTATCATTCATCAATCATCACACTATTTAGTCGCTAAACGCTAGTCAATTGTACTTGTATTGACTTGTTTTCTGTGTTGTGATATGTTATTATGGGGCATGGAAAATGCCTTCCCATCGTACTTATTAACAACATTTTTGGATTTCTTTTTTCAGCCAGGCATTTCGAATCTTTCATTTGGCCACAGTGCTTAGTCAGCAGGGATTATTGATTTGCAGCAGCTATAGTGTTTGTATTCTTTTCCATTCCTCTTTTCAAATACTTAGTTTCTATATAATGAATTTACTTGATGTATATACTGTATCTAAAACCTGCAGTTATATGTACAACAGTTACTGTATATATACCTTAATTTAGCTTAATGATTAAATAATGAATCCTTCTAATCTTAATGGCATCTCTGCACTTTCTCCCGCTCTAGAATGAACTGTCTGATGAGGATTACAGATTAGAGGTCACTCAGATTCATAAGGTAGGTGGATGATGTGTCTCCATCACTAACAGGCCTCAAATTCATTATTCTTGTTTTCACCAACAGTATATAGTTAGCAGGCTTGGGGAGTAACTGATTACATGTAATGAGATGACGTAATCAGGATACAAAAAAGGTAACATTATTCAATAGAGATTACTAACAGGATGACAGTGTTGCAATATTTTGAAATAAAGATGGATATATTCTAGGTAGACTAACTGAATTTTCTTTATGGGTTATATTGAAGCTACTTTAATTCTTCTTTATTTTTAAATACATGTATTTTTTAAATGCAGTAGGCGGACACCTGATTTATTAAACTAAAATACAGTTTGCTTTTGATTAATGTTAAATAAATTAAAGCTTAAACAACATTTGTTAGCTATTACTGTTACTACATTTAAATGAAGTATCTTGGTTCCTTCTTTTCTAAGGTTACATTGTCATACATTAAAGTGTGTGTGTGTGTGTGGTGTGTGTGTGTGTGTGTGTGTGTGTGTGTGTGTGTGTGTGTGTGTGTGTGTGTGTGTGTGTGTGTGTGTGTGTGTGTGTGTGTGTGTGTGTGTGTGTGTGTAGGACTTCACCATGGAGACCTTTGCGGGCCCGGTGTTCTCCCTCTTGCGGGGGGCTCTGGGGGTCTCGGAGCAGGAGTACCAGCAGTCTCTGAGCTCCAGCAGCTGCTACCTGCAGTTCATCAGCAACTCCAAGAGCAAGGCCGACTTCTTCCTCACGTGAGTCACCTTCCAACTCAATAACACACATGATGGTTCCTCTGAGTCACTTTTATTTTTGATTAGAATCATATTTGCCTAACTAAAAACCTAAATGTTTATTAAAGATTAAATTAGATTATATTCAACGTTATTGTCATTGACAACAAAACGGAATTAGCATCTAACCAGTGCAAAAAATAAGTAAAGAGCAGAGTTATTCATAGTATAATATAAATATATACATCTGACAGTATTTACACTATGAACAGTATATAGAGGTATACACATTATATACAGCAGTATAGAAAGGAATACGCTATGGATCAGGAATACATATGGGCAGTATGATACACAATACAGAATAAATATGAATATATTATAGACCTTTATTGTCGTTTAAAATACTACAAATAAATATGAGTATGCTTCTTTCATCTCAAAGCAGAGGGACAGATTATATCACTACTGAGCATTTGGTGTTAGTAAATCTGAGACAAAAATAGATGTAACAAATGTGTTGTTTTCTTTCTTTGAGTGGCTAGTTGGATAACTGATACAGAAATGTTCTCACTTGGTGCTCTTGAACTTTCAGGAATGATAAACGCTTCTTTTTGAAGACGCAGAACAAAAGGGAAATCAAATTCCTTCTGAGCAACCTGAAGATCTACATGGAACATCTGAAGAGATTCCCCCACTCACTGCTGGTCAAGTTCCTAGGTACACACACTCACACACAGACGCACACACTCACACACACACCATCACATGATGTTTTGGGCCAAGATACTGTATCTAAACAAAGCAGAATAAGAACTCTAATAATAATAATATATTTTATTTATAAGCGCACTTTTCATTTGCGTAAACAAAACTCAAAGTGCTACAAAATTAAAAAGGGTGAAACAAAACAACAAAAACAATAAAAACAATAAAAAAACAATTTAAAAACAATTAAAACAACATAATAAAAGCTGTGACATTTATGCCGGCATGGCATAATGTGGGGGATTTAAAAATCTAGTTAAAGGCTATTCTAAAAAGATGCGTTTTTAGGCCTTTTTTGAACGCCTCCACAGTCTGTGGTGTCCTCAGCTGAGGCTAGCTAACTGAAATATACTGTTGGTTTTCATTTGCAGATTTTCTTTTATTGAAAATAGTTTTGAGGCAATATTATGTGATGATCAGTCATTTTGCAAATCAAGCACCTCCCCTGTTTCAGAGTGCAATTCACTTTTACACCGCTGTTGTACATTTGGGTGGATGTATTTGTGCATTTGTCACGATTATGTTACAATAAAAACAATTATTGCATGGAACACTTTGCTAACACAATAAGCACGTGCAACAACACAAGACACACATATTACTTAATAACAACCAACGGCAGCCTTTATTTAGCGCTCGCCAGCGATGAAAAGCCAGACCAAGATTTACTCCTGCTCCGTCCCTTCGCCTGTTCCTATCTTAGCGTGCTCCTTACATTTATCTCCCACATCTGCCAAGAAGTCCGACCATTTAGCGTTATTTACCAAAATGTCTCGTCAGAAAGCCTCATACACTTTTGCTCTGAGATTGTTCAACCAACATTTGTGTAATCTCACATTCTCGATGGAAAACCTTGATGCAACAATGTATAAATACTCCATGAATAATTTGTATACATGAAACATTTCTTAATTCAAACTCCTACATGTAAGCAGCGTGTTACTGTTGTAGCTGCTGCAGATGGACCTATGTTAAACACTTTACATACCTTGGCTGTTTATTGCTGCGGTTATCAACCTAGAGCAGTGTTTCTCAAACTTTTTCATACCAAGGACCACTCAACCAATACAAAAACACTCGCGGACCACCTAACTCCACAAATATCCAAAAACACATCGTTTTTCTAGAACAGATTACAAATCGCCTGCAACGGGTACAAAGAAGTGGCAACATGTGTGATGAAGGTGTTGTGCTGGGCTATATGATGCAATTGATAGTTAAACTTAAGCTCGCTCCATTGCGGAAATATTCGCGCGAGAGTGCGGAAAACTTTAATTAATTAATTAATTTCAAATGTGAAATTGTACCAATATACTCACGGACTACTAGGGGGCGCTCACGGACCACCAGTGGTCCGCGGACCGCACTTTGAGAAGCACTGACCTACTGTAGGGGGCTCCCCTCAAAAGGATCCCCATAAATCTGAAGGGCCATGAGATGATAAATGGGAGAGGAAAAATAGAGCACTGATATACTATATATCTAGTTTAGGGCCATAAGCCAAAAAGGTCATTCAGAATTGATAAGAGAAGTAGTTAGTCACCAAGTCAGTCAAATACATCAGTAGTATAAAGAAGCACAAAATGAAGTACAGCTACCTCAACATTGTACTGTATATGACAATAAATCAGATAATCTTTTGCTTTGGACTGAGTTATTTCTCACTGTTTTTTCAAGGTGTTCATCGGATCAAAATCCCACACAGGCGGAAGGTACAGAAATTTTTTATTACTGGTTGTGGTTGTTATTAAGCAGTGTTAGAAACCTTGGGAAGCACTCACTTTGTTTCACTTGTCCTTTGCAGAAATACTTCATTGTAATGCAAAGTGTGTTTTATCCTGATGATCGACTCAATGCCAGGTAAGCCTGATCTGATGGCCCACAGGTCGACATATGAGTGGAATGAGTGTCAGACACAGGAACAGACAGTGTGTGTGCAGGGGCACTGTGGTGTCTTGTCAATTGTGTTAGTTGTGTTTGTTTTATGTCTGTCATTTCATGTTTAGTCAGGTATTTATGTCATTCCAAGTCTAGTCAGGTTGTAGAGTCAGGTTTTCACGTTACTTCACGTCTTGTCTGTCTATTTTATGTCTGTCATCTCTAGTCAAGTCCCCATGTTTCATGTCATGTCTCGTTTTCCCATTTCCTGTTTTATTTTGTACTTACCTCTTGTCTTTCTTTTCAGACCTTGTTAATTCCTCACTTTGGGTGTTTTCCCGCCATCGTCAGCGTCTGCCCCGCCCCTGATTGTTTCCACCTGTTCCCTCATGCTTAAATAGTCCTTGTCTCCCTTTGTCTTGTGCCAGTTCGTCTTGTTTCAGTGTGCTTCATATGTCCAGAGACCCAGCGGATACCAGAGAGGAGAGTTTTGTTTGTTTGATATCAAGAGTTTTGTTTTGTCCTTGCAAGAGTGATTTTTTGTTAATACTTTGTTTTATTTTTCTCATTAAAATACGAGTCGTTGCATTTGAGTCCAGTATTTTTGTACCCCGTTCTAACAGGTGCCGCCAGGGATTTTGGGCCCCATGAAAAGATATCACATTGGTTACTTAAAAATGTTTTTCTTAATGTTCTAAAATGGTCTGGGCCCCTGTCAGTCACGGGCCCTTAGAATCGTCCTAACTTTTCACCCCCTTACGGCGCCCCTGTGTGTGTGGGTTGATGTGTGTTTGTGTGGCCAGGTACGACATTAAGGGCTGCGAGGTGAGCCGTTGGACGGAGCCTGCGCCGGAGGGGAGCCACATCATCGTGGTTCTCAAAGACCTCAACTTTGAAGGGCAGTACATCTCTCTGGGTACAGAATGTGCTGTTAATGTGTGCTGTGCAAGCGTCAAACCACAAATGAAAGACAACGACCCCCGTGTTGAGACGTCCAAAAAAGAAACGGGAAGAAATAAGCCTGTTTTCAGCCAGATACAAAGCTAATTTAATTCATGACGACTATACAGAGAGGGAATTTCAATATAACTTTACCGTTTATACAAGCTTCAGATTATGATTACAAATATAATCTGATGAATTTTATGTATAAAGCCACAGTATTATTCAAAATGATTCTAATGAGCTCTGTCTTTACGAGCTACAAAACCAAAAGTGATACATACTGTATATTAATCTACCAATTGATATAATACCATAATAAAATCTTCCTTTTTGTTATTATGAAATGGGCAATTCTGAATTCTGACTAATATTACTTATTTTACTTGAAGTACTTTCTGATACTAATACTTTTATACTTTTTCTTTCAATGTTAATGCGCCAATATTGGTCATATGAGGTTGTGTAAGGGTACAGAGAGCATATTTAACCCCCATCAGGACAGCAGTATATTGTACACTATCCCATTCCTTTTCATTTGAATGTATTATCTAAAATCACATTCATTTACACATAAACTGTATGTGTGTGCAGAGCGGCAGCGGGCCTGGCTCCTGCAGCAGGTGGAGATCGACACACACTTCCTGCGGAGGCTCAATGTGCTGGACTACAGTCTCCTGCTGGCCCATCAGCCCTTGCACCATGACGAGCGCCACCAGAGTCTCTCCTTCGCCTCCCTCATCATGAGAGCCAAGAAGTCAGTGTCTTTAAGCTGTTGTCCACATTTTGTGGCCCTGTTTTGGTGGTTCATCATTAGTACAGTACTGCTAACAATCTTTCAAATGTTAGTTGTTAAAAGAATACATACCCAATGAGTTTATAAGTGAAGAAGTTATTGATGGCTATCTTGATGATCAATTATTCATATCATTAATTTATTAAGTTACAAGACTGAAGCTCCATTCTGGTAACAACACATGTGAAGATTGAAAGTTAAATATTTCCTGTAATTTAACTCCTCATTGCGAATGTGGTTTTTACCATGGTGAAACGACAGTACATTCAGCAGGACCAACACAGACTGTTATTACTGGAATAAGAGGAACTGTGTAATGAGTGGGCCACATCAAACAAATCTGTAAGTCACAGTTCAAAGCTTTTTATTTTTTTATTTCCTCCAATAGTGACAAAGACAACGGCAACAAGGCTGTCGGCAAAAGTGATTTAATCCCCAGAGACCCCGGTGTTGAAACAGCACATTTTAAAGCAGAAATAAACCTGCTTACAGCCGGATACAAAACATTGTTTTGGTCTCTAAAGCTAATTTCATTTTTGTTTTACTCACTGTTTAAATCAGCTTGTATAAAGACTTAATGTATAATGTAATGTATGCAAATTTAGGTCGTGGCCACTTTGAGTGTCAGGTGGTTCTCAGGTCCCAAGCCTCAGCTCCAGGCACACGCCACCTCTTTAGGGTCAGCCCAGGGTAGTTTCAGGAAATCACATCAATATGACGTCAAACCTTAGTCATACTGATGTGAATCAGCATGACTAACAGTTCAGAGGACTAGCCTCAACTTAAAGAAATGTAATGTTAGTTGTGTGTACAACCATGGTTACAAACACCTACTGCTAATTACACATTTTGCATATTTTGATAATAATAATAGCTTGGATTTATATAGCGCCTTTCATGAGACCCAAGGTCGCTTTTACAAAGAAGAACAGGAGTAGAAACAAACATAACAAAAACAAAAGGCAAACAGTTAGATAGACAAAACAACAAATAGATTAGGGGCCAAAGGCCTTGGCAAACAGATGGGACTTGAGGGCCCTTTTGAAGGCGTCAAGTGTGGGGATGTTGCGGATCTCCACAGGGAGAGTGTTCCAGAGAGTGGGGGCTGCCACACTGAAGGCTCTGTCCCCGAAGGTTCGCAGGTTGGTGCGGGGGGGTGGTAAGCAGGCCAGAGTCTGAAGACTGCAGGTTCCGGGGTGGGGCACGAATGGGAGCGAAGGATGTCCGATAAGTACTGGGGGGCATGGGCATGGAGGGACTTGTAGGTGAGGAGGAGGACTTTGTAGGTTATGCGGGTCTTGACCAGCAGCCAGTGGAGGTGGATGAGGGTGGGAGTGATGTGCTGACACGGCTTTATGTGCGTGAGTACCCTAGCAGCACAGTTTTGAACAAAAGCCTGTCCGGGGTTGTGTTGGGGATCCCAAACAGGACACCATTGCAGTAGTCCAAGCGAGAGATGACGAAAGCATGGACTAGGGTTTCTGCTACGGACTCCGAGAGTGACGGAGTCTGGCAATGTTCCTTAGATGGAAAAAGGCTGATTTGGTAACAGACTTGATGTGGGAGTGGAAGGAAAGGGTGGAGTCAAGGATGACACCCAAGTTGCGGGCTTCAGGAGATAGAGCCGCCGTCAACCTCAAGGATGAAGTCACCAACCTTCCGGAGCAGCGCCTTGGTTGCCACAACCATGAGCTCTGTTTTCCTGCTGTTGAGTTTGAGATAGTTAGACGTGTTGCGACCTGGCTCAGAAGGCCACAACAAAAAGGAGACACAACATGTCAACGGGTAGAAAAATATGTTTATTAAAGAAAGTAATTCAAATGAGCCAAATGCATAGAGTGCAACAAAGTGGAGCAACTGAGAAAACCCGTACTTCATACTCAACCAAAACCCAGGTGTCTGCAGGGGAAAGCAGAGCGAGAACAGAGAGGAGCAGAGAGGCTTTAAATAGCTGCAGGACACCAGACCCAGGTGCCCTGAGTTACTGTAATCAATGCAATCACTGGAGCCAATGCAGCACAGACAGAACAGCCACACCCTCTCTACTGATGGACCCACAGGGGCATCACAGACGACATCCATGTTTTTATGTCGTGCAGGCAGTTGACGAGAGACTGAGGGGGGAGCTGGGAGGACGGAGTAGTGCTGAGATATAATTGGGTATCATCAGCGGAGCAGTGGAAATTGAGTCCATGATGGCGGATGATCTGGCTGAGGGGGAGCATGTAAATGGTGAACAGGAGGGGGCCAAGCACAGAGCCCTGGGGTACACTGTGATTGACTGGGGCCGGGGGTGAATTTGAGCCATTAATGGTTACAAACTGTTCCCTGTTATGGAGGTAGGATGTGAACCAGGACAGGGCTGTGCCAGTGACACCTACAGTAGGAGGTCAGATAGGCAAGTGAGGAGGATGGTGTGGGAGATGGTGTCAAACGCTGCAGAGAGGTCCAGGAGGATGAGGATGCTGAGGCGGCCAGAGTCAGCAGCAATGAGGAGATCGTTGGTTCCAAATAGCCCAAATATAATCAAACCTGTCCGGAATTGTAGGTTGAATCTGTCCTTCTGTCGTATGGGTTCTATAGGAACTGAATATTGTTGTTGGTGTGAGCATATCTACAATTTTTGTTGGTGTGAGCATATCTACAATATCAGAAGGAATCACGTGATCACATTGTTAGAAGAAGCCATTAAAACTTTTATTTTAGGTACGTTTCCATTGGTTTCAAGCCGCTGTAATGGTAAATGGACTGTACTTATATAGCGCTTTATCCAGTCTTTAAGACCCCTCAAAGCGTTACATACAACATGTCGTTCACCCATTCACACCCATTCATACAGAGCAGTGTATGTTACTCTAGGAACTAACATGCATACACATTCACACACCGTTGGCCATGCCATCGGGAGCAACTCAGGGTTAAGTATCTTGCCCAAGGATACATCGACATGTTGACTGCACGGGCTGGGATCGAACCCACAACCTTCTGGTTGAAAGACGACCGCACTCCCTCGCAGCCTCAGTTGCCGTAATGAGTTTGCACTTGTCGGCCTCCGTATTAAATTGCCACATACAGTCCCCTCCAAAACTATTGGAACAGCGAGGCCAACTGCTTTATTTGAGCTGTACACTGAAAACAATTAGGTTTGACATCAGAAGATGAATATGAGACAAAAGGTCAGTATTTCAGCTTTTTACTCCAGGTATTTAGATCTAGATCTGTTAAACAACTGAGAAGAAAGCATCTTTTGTTTAAACCCACCCATTTTTCATGTGAGCAAAAGTATTGGAACATGTTACTGACAGGTGTTTTTTGTTGCCCAGGTGTGTCCTGCTACATTGATTATTCAAACACTAAAATGCACTGCATGTCTACTCTCAGTTTGAGCTTTGGGTTTTGCCTGTGCAGACTGCATTTATAGTTACAACGGTGTAACCAACATGAAGACTAGAGAGCTGCCTATGGGAGAAAAGCAAGCCATTTTGAAACTGAGAGAAGATGGAAAATCCATCAGAGCCGTTGGCCATAGCCAGTACAACCATTTAGAATGTCCTGAAGAAGAAAGAAAGCACTGGTGTACTGAGCATCAGACTTCAAACTGGTCGACCAAGGAAAACATCAGCCGCTGATGACAGAAACATTGTGAGAACTGTAAAGAAACATCACCAACAACCTCCAGAGGGCAGGAGTGAAGGTGTCACAATTGTGGAGTCTATTTTTATATAACATTACAAGATTGATTCTTATTATTTGCTTATTGTGTTCATAAGATTGCTATGACTATAAAATAAATAGACCCAATCACTAATCCCAGGTCACACACAGTCATATGAGAGTTTAAGCTTGCAATAATGTAGCCAGGTGCAAGGCACTGTAGAAACAATGAGTTATTGAGGCTATATGGCCTTGGCCGCCTGGGTTAGCTCCACGCCCACGCATAGCTGGGAATCAGTATAACCAAGATTCCACTTTTCTGCAGAAGCTTCAGCAAAACAAATGATTGGGATAGCGACAGAGTAGGGAGGGACTTCCACAGGCCGATTGCTGATTGGAAGGTCGTGTTGCCAAGAGACTGCCACTGCTAAGTCTGTGCACCAACCAGAGAGGCCAAAGTCTAAACCACGGCCCTCCCCTTCTAGTCTTGACCAATCATAAATGTATGGGCAACGCCCTGTGTAATAAAAATGTATGCACCTATGCACGCACGAGGTTCGGGGCTCCTGTCCGGAAAAATAGTGGTTACAGATTACAGATTTGCTACCTGTAATTTCTATGACGTGACGGAGTCCTTGGCCAAGTGATAAATATATTTTGCTCTCTCATAATAAATAGTTACATTTAGAAGTCGTCTGTCTTTCCTGGAATTTTGAACACAACACAATCCACCGTTAACAGAAGACTTTGGGAACAAAAGTACATAGGCTACACCAGAAGATGCAAACCACTCATTAACAATAATAATATGAAGGCCAGATTTGAATTAGCTAAAAAGTACAGAGACGAGGCTCAACAGTTCTGGGACAAAGTTGTATGGACTGACGAGTCAAAGATGAACCTTTACCAAAGTGGATTCACACTTGTATTTCCGGATCCACACTTGTGTTTTTCAATGCACACACAAATGTGTTCCGTTTCATATACATGTAAATAAAATCAAAATACAGAAAAAAGTTTTACATATGTGTTTTTGATCCTAACATATTTGTTTTCCGTTTAAAACCTCTGAACCTGCAAACACAAACCGCTTTCTGTGCACGGATCGCTGTGCATTCGTGTGTGGGTTTTTTGAGCTCCCCTGACGGTCAGCCGATTCGTACTTGTAATTTTTTCTATCTATAGCCAATCAGATGTCTCCTCCATTATAAGCCAATCACATGAGCGCGCCCCCACGAGGGTAGATTTCTTGCGTTCATGACGTAGCGCTTCATGTACGCATTTTGCAGCTGACAGGTCCATGGAGC